AACCAATTTTTAACCAATCAGAAACTTGTAATTACTGAGGGGAATAAAACCTTATAATATAAATATAAATATAAATATAACTCTTGTAATAAATATTAAATACATTAAATACTATTAAAACTGTCCATAAATATCCAGATAAATAAGGTCTATGTCCGTGGCAATAAATAAAGAGTCCTTTTAATATTTCTGGTAGGCTTCTTTCCATTGGTAAAATTCCTTTCTTTTCTGTGCCTCCGCACGGGGCTCTGCCCCTTGGCCCAGCACTGGCCGCCCTGCCCCACAGCCCAGCTGGGCCGGGGCTCCAGCGGCACCCTGGCTCGGGGGCACAGGAGCTGCAGAGGAGCCCGCACGCCCCAGGGAAGGCAGCAGCGGCTGGGGCGCAGGCTGCTGTCCCACAGGGGCTGCAGCAGTGGGCAGGGGCACAGTGCCAGCCCCACACTCGGGCCATTGGGGACTGGGGACTGGTCCAACCTTGGGTGGGGCTTCATGGCCATCCTTACCAGGCACTTGCTGAATCTCCACAGCTCCTTCTTCTTGACCAGCTGCTCTAGATCCCTCCTTTTCAGCAACCAGGCTGCACGAAGAAGCGCTTTCCGAGAGGCCTGCAGAGCAACAGAGTCCAGGAGATGGCACCACAGCCCAGGGCACAGGACCCGTGTCCCTGGACCAAGGTCAGGGCAGGAGGCAGCCCGGCTCCTTCCTGTTGTGACCGCAGAGCCCACAAGTACTCACTTCTGCCACTTGCTGGTTCTCATCGTGCCAGTAGAAGAAGAGTGGCAGCAGGCTCTGGTTCACATGTGACTTCAGGTGTTGTTTTCCCTCATCCGCTCCCAACTCCATCACCTTTTGGAAGAGGTGAATGGAGAGCACTTGCACACGGATGTTGTCCTGATGCAAAGGAAGAAGAAAAGGCCTCAGCACTGGCTGCTCCAGGCCCACCGGGGCACAGGCCTGCAAATGCACAGGCCACACTTTCCTGGCAGTACCCAGGGCCTGTGGTGGGGGACACAGAAACTTACGTAGCCAAAGAGTGGCTGCAGCACCTCAGCCAGCTGCAGGGCAGTGGGGGTGGAGATTACGATGTCTCTGTCCTCAACTTCATTGATGAATATAGAGAGGGCCATCCCGATCAGTTCTCTGTCTTCATTCCACAGAACGTCAATGAGGCTTTGTGTCAGGCTCCGCATGCCGTCAGCCTGTGAGGAACACAAGGCTGTGCTGGGAAGCCACGAACGGCTGCAGAGCCAACCCCGCTCAGACAGGGCAGCCCTAGGTGCTGCCGAGGGGCAATAGCACTGGTAATCGGGGTGCCAGGAGGAGCTGTGTTTCGGTACTAATCACTTCTGAGGCTGCTCGTATGCCTTCATATGCCGCTAAGATTTCTTTTTCCCTGGGGGTGTAATTGGCCTCAGAACCTCTGTAGCTTCGGCTCCAGAAACCAAGTGGTCGCCCTCGAATCTCGTCAGGCGTTTTTTGTTAGAGGTTCCAGGAGGGACCTTTATCTCCAGCTGTAAAGTACATTCTTTGTATCTGGTCCCGTCCTGACTGGTCCAAGAGCCACGGCTTGTGTAATCCCTTGCTTGATTTGCTTGAAAGCTTGTTGTTGTTAAGGACCGCATTGGAAGTTATTTTTTTTAAGGGTCACAAAGTAAAGAAGGCTTACAATTTGGCTGTACTTAGGGATGTGCATCCTCCAGAAGCCTATGGCTCCCAGAAAAGCTTGGGTTTCTTTCTTGTTTGTTGGTGGAGCCATTGCTAGGATCTTATTGATGACGTCTGTTGGAATCTGACGACGTCCATCTTGCCATTTTTCTCCTAGGAACTGGATTTCTCTGGCAGATCCTTTGACTTTATTTCTCTTGATGACAAAACCGGTCTCAAGGAGAATCTGGATGATCTTTTGTCCTTTTTCAAAAACTTCTTCTATTGTGTCCCCCCATATGATGATGTCATCGATGCACTGCAAGTGCTCTGGGGCCTTACCCTTCTCTAGGGTGGCCTGGATCAGCCCATGGCAAATGGTTGGACTGTGCTTCCACCCCTGGGGCAGTCGATTCCAGGTGTACTGCACACCCCTCCAGGTGAAAGCAAATTGTGGCCTGCACTCTGCTGCCAAGGGAATGGAGAAAAACGCATTAGCAATATCAATAGTGGCGTACCACTTCGCTGTCTTGGACTCCAGCTTGTACTGGAGCTCCAACATGTCTGGTACAGCAGCACTCAATGGTGGCGTGACTTCATTCAAGCCACGATAGTCCACTGTCAGTCTTCATTCTCCATCAAATTTACGTACAGGCCAGATAGGGCTGTTGAAGGGTGAGTGTGTTCTGCTGACCACCCCTTGGCTTTCTAACTTCCTGATCATCTTGTGAATGGGGATCACAGCATCTCGGTTTGTCCTGTACTGTCGCCTGTGTACAGTTGCAGTGGCTATAGGCACTTGCTGATCTTTGACTTGGAGTAGTCCCACAACGGAACGGTCTTCTGAGAGGCCAGACAGGGCAGACAATTGCTTGGACTTCTCTTCAATCACGATGGCTACACCGAAAGCCCATTGGTATCCCTTTGGGTCTTTGAAGTATCCTCTTTTTAGGTAGTCCATACCAAGAATGCAAGGGGCTTCTGGCCCTGTCACAATGGAATGCTTTTGCCTTTGGTCTCCTGTTAAGCTCATATCGACCTGTATCACTGACAATTCTTGAGACCCTCCGGTCACTCCAGAAATAGAAACAGCCTCCACACTCTTATGTTCCGATGGCATTTAAGTACACTGGGCACCAGTATCCACCAAAGCCCAGTATCTCTGAGGATCTGATGTGCCAGGCCATCGAACCCACACAGCCCAGTAAACTCTATTATCTTCCTGGTCCCTGTCCTTCTCCTGGCAGAAGGCAAGACCTCTCTATTGGTCTTGATCAGAGTATTCATTGTCCGACTTTGACTCTGCCTTCTTAGAGGTCTTCTTGTTATTGTCAAAGCGGACTTCCATCTTTTTGTGTTTCAGAGGTTGCAGAGCATCTGCATCAACCACGTCGACAACCTTTTTGTTGTTTTCCTTTTGTTGTAACTCTCTTACTCTGGCCTCGAGTTTGGAAGTGGGTTCACCATTCCACTTCTTCATGTTTTCTCCCTTGCTGCGCAGATAGGACCACAGTTGGTTACGTGATCTACGTCTGGGGTTTCCTCTCCTTCTGCATGCTAGGAAACGAGACTGCGAATGAGGCCGGGACCAAGACTGAGGTTGAAATCGTGGTCGAAACCATTTTATTGGTCTATCTCTATAGTCTCTATAGGCTATATAGACTCTATCGTCTTTATCCCTATAGTCGTCTTCATATCTGAAATATTCATAGGGCGTCTCCATTGCTTCCCTAGGATGGGTAGGCTGGTGTCGGGCATCAGATGACCTTTCCAAATTTTCTGCTATAGTCTGTATCCATGAACACATGGTGTCCACAGTCGGTTCATCTGTTTTTGGATTGTATACTGCTATTAAGCAGTTGAGGTATGATGCAGGGGCACCTGTAATTACTTGCCTCCACATCGGCTCTGTACAGGAAATCTACTCTGGTTCTAAACAGCCATAATAATCTGGGTTGCAATAAATGAGTTCCAGCATAGCTAATTCTCATAAGTATTGGATGCCTTTTTCTGCACTCGTCCACTTTTTCGGAGAACTCATTAAGTATTCTTTAAATGGGTATTTTTCCCTCACAGCATGGAGGATTCAGAGCCAGAGACTGAGATTGTATGTCTCTCTTGCGATTTCTTGTTCTATTTCACGATCTTGAGCGAGGGATCCTAGTTGCTGTGCTTCTTGACCCTCTAACAAGTGGCTTCTGGCTCCATTGTCCCAGCATTGTACCAACCAGCTGAGAATTTGTTCACCAGGCTGGTGGCTGTAATCCCATCGTAGATCCTGGAGCTCTGCTGGGTCATTGTTCACAGTACCTCACTCATTCGCACAACCGCTGCTCTAGAATAAGGGTCTCTCCTACGTGGAACCATTTCCACTTCCCTTCTGACGCTTCTACGTGGAACTGCTTTCTCTCTCTCTCTGCCTCTCTCACGTGGAGGCAGAGGCTGAGCATGTAGTGAGGATAGACTCTACTCCATTGTCTAAGCCCACGAGGTGGAGGTAGCGAGTAGTCCTTCAGACTTTGGGATGAAGGTCTCAACCATTTTTCTGTATCCTCTGCTGGAAAGTCAGGAAGAGAATATTTGGGTTTCAGCCTTGTCTTTGGTGGTTTATTGGCCATCTGTGCTGCTGTCTCTTCTTCCTTTAGGTGTGCTCCCTTTTCCTTTGGATGCGCTCCTAATTCTTTTGGGCGCGGTCCTTCTCTCACTGCTACTTCTTCCTCTTTTGTAGCCGTCCATTTGTCCGCTACTATATAGCTGGACGGGATAGGTTCCTTGGGGATGGCAAGTCTCTTTGTTCCTCCTCCTCCTCCTCCTCCTCCTTCTCCTCCTC